TGTGTTGAGAGAATACCAGGCTGATGTTCATCTTTCCTGCTTTAAAGCACGCAGTGTTCCCTTGTCGTGTTTGAATGACGGCATCTTGAACAGGTTCCACATGAGTGCAAAGAAGTGCCCTGGAATTCCCATTCTTCCCAAGGTTTTCCATAGTTTTCTATGGTCCACACAATATTTTTTAACATAGGGCTGAAAAAAAGGTCTTATGCTACTATGGTCATACCCTTTATTTTTTTGATGGGGGAAGTGAAAACCAAAGAGGTTAGATGATTTGCCCAAACTTTTCCAGATGGGAAGCAGCAGGACAGGTGTTAGAACCCATACATATTGACCCCTACCCCCGTTGTTTAAAAAAATTGGTTAAATACACACATACAAATAGTGGGTTTTTCATATTTTAAATGTATGATCCAGTCCCTGCCTGCCCCTCAACAGACCACCTCTTTGAACAGGAAAAATGATGGCTTAAAAAATGTTATGACAATATATTGGAAGTGGCTTAAAGTCTAACAGTAGATACCACTTGAATAAATTATGATAACTTCTTACAACGAAACTATGTTCAAAAGTATTTAGTTAAAAAGCTATTTTTCAAACTTTAGAAAAGTAATCAGTGTCCAGACAAGACTTGAAAGTCAACTTCAGGGGTTAATCTTTTTTATATCTAGTAAGTAGGATGACATGTGGTTTTAATTTTTTCCCCTTGTGCTTTCTGTTGATTTTTTCCCCTGAAGGATCTCCCACGAGCATGTTTCTAATTACATTATTTTTCACTAAGCAAGACAATTGAAGTTCGTTCTAAAGGAACTAGAAAGCTCAACATTTGGGTCTGTTTTTGTCTCTGTTGAGGGATAAACTTTTTTGGTACCGTTATGTATATTTGTGTATCTTAGATGTCATTTTCCATTCAGAATTTATAGTTCTGTACCAATTAGAAAAACATCCTTTTTACAATTGCTGTAATTTTAAGGAATCTGTATTTTTCAAAAAAGGAATGCAGAAGGCAAAACCTCAAAATAACACTCCCAATAAAAACACCACTGACTCTTTTGAGGATTAAGCACACTCCCTGAGAGAGGACTGTAATTGGCAGTTCCACTTTCAACCAGGCTCTTCCCAATCCCCGTCTTTCCACTCACCAGCTGCAAAGCACTTGACCAGAGTCCCGAGTTACCACACCTGTTGAATGAGGACAATCCCAGTTCCCTGGGTCTGTTGTTGCCGGGTGCCGGGGACTAGATTTTAGACTCCGAGTGTCCCCGCTGGCAGAGTAGATTCCCTGCACAGGAGTTTTCAACCTGTAATCTTCACGGGGACCCAGCACCAGATCTTTCTCCCACAGAACCACTGGGCGGGTTCAAACTACCAACCTTTAGAGTTAGCAGTTGAGCTCTTAACCAAAGCGACAGTAGGGCTGCCTTGGGTTATTGTTAAGGCCAAATAAATATGTCCTATTTGTAAAATCCTGTAAAAGGACGACTTGGCACATTGCAGGAATTCAAAATATGTAGTCCTGTCTTGTTCGGAAGGAGTCCTGGTGTGCGGTGGGTCAGGCGTCGGCTCTGAACCGCAGGCCGGCTGCTCCTCCTCGAAAGCAAGCTGAGGCCGTGTGCTCCCAGAAGGACATACGGGCCCAGAAACTGGCCTGGGCCTCTGTGCGTTGGAATGGACTAGATAGCAGTAGGTTTGGTTTGATGTGGTTTGGCCTGGGTCTTTCTTGGAGATCTCTCATGGTACTGGAACAAACATACTTATTGGTCAGAGGGACTGGAGAGCTATATTTGACAAGTGCTAACGGGGCAGTGGTTCTGACAAGGAGAGGGATGACATTTGCAATGTTTCTAGACCCGTGCACAATCAAAATGAACTAGAGAATCTTTATGTATGTATGTATGTACTTTTCAATGGTTTAAATATATTAAAAAGTTGTGTAATCATCACTACAAATCAATTTTAAAACATGTTCTTCCTTCCAATGTCCCTTAATGTAACCCTAAGAAGCTATTACTCTAGTTATTATCTGTAGATGTACCTATCCTGGATTTCATATAAAGAAAACCACACCACCTGAGACACAACAATAACAAAGTAAACCACAGGAAAACCTCAATCCAAAAGGAAGCAGAAAATAATAAAAACACGAACAAGTTAAAAATGGGTCAAAAGGGAAGACATTGGTTAAATGTAACTAAATCTGCATTACTCCACTTTCCAATGCTCTCTGCTGATCACAAAGTTATTCACATCCCTGGTCAATGGAGGCTTAATCCAGGCAAGGACTCTGCAGATGTATTTGTGTTTTCACTGGCATCCAGAGCCTTCTGCAAACAGGGTGCTCAGCATTTAAATTCTAATCCAATCTCTGCCTCTGATGGGGGATTTTATTATTAATAATCCTTTGATCACACAAGCTGGTGTGCTTCTTCTGTATGGACTCAGTTGACACTTCACTTAGATGGCTGCTTATTTTAAGATAAGCTTGTAAGAACCTAGACACTATTCTTTCTGTTGTGAGGCATTATTTGGGATAGCACACATATCTTCAGTGATCACTTCATTAGGGCAAGTATGGAGCATGGCCATATTATAAGAACTAATTGTTCTTAGAGTAGAGGTTACTCTTAGATGTGAGCTCAAAATGCAATGGTATAGCTACAGATTATAGATATATATCCCTGGTCTACTTTAGGGGCAGCACTATCAGTTTCTTGAGAAATAACTTAAATAACCTCTGTGGGACATTGCATAACCAAGAGACTCTTTGTATGCAGGTTTCTATGTCATATAAAACTACTGAGACAAACTCTCTGGAGTACAGTGCCCAAGAACCTGCATTTAGAAAGCTCTTTAAATAAATATCTACTCAAATTTTAAACAACTACCATATCTACTCGTGTATAAGCCGAGTGTTTCAGCACATTTTTAATGCAGTTTTTGTGGTAAAATTAGGTGCCTCGGCTGATATTCAGGTTGGCTTATACTCGAGTGTCTATGGTAACTAAAAACTCAGAGCCAAACTCACTGCCACAGACTTGATTCTGATTCATAGCAACAGAGTGGAACTGCTCCTTGGGGTTTCTGAGACGAAATTTTTTTTAAATTGTAAAATTTTATTATTTTGCACAGCTTGTATTTTGTTATTTTTTCCCCAACAGTTTTATTGGCACATAATTTACATATCATACAATTGAGTAGTTCAATCGTTCGATCATATCAAGAGGAATTGTACAATCACCACCACATCTATCTTAGATCATTTCCCACCCCCATGGTTAAATTGCCTTCAATATGAGTTGTGAAATCACAATGAGTTTTAGTGCTCCCTCTCCCCTCCTGCCCTCCTTATTCACTCTGCAAATCCCTTTTCCCTTCCCATGACCAATTCCCACCTCTGCATTCCCTATAACACCTTCTATCTGTTATTATCATCATACATCCACTCCTCCTGGGCTTTACAGCTGGGAGACCCAACAGAAAACAATGAACGACAAATTACACTGAGGTGGTAAGGACATATTAGCATAAGGACAAAAATAGAAACAATGCATGGAGGGAGAAGACGCCCATCAACATTCAAAAAGCCAGGGAAGAAATTTCTGTCATGTACCAACTAAGAGATACTTGCACCCAGAACAATGGAGACTCAATCTTGATCGGAGCAGACGGGCTCGTCCTTCTCCAGAGGAGCAGATTGTGGAGGATTTGAACCGCTTTGTGTTTCTCCCTCAGCACCACCCAGAGTGTCTGCTGAATTTTAAAAGCTGTTTAGATAATTGTCTACTCAAATTTGAAACAATTGGTCCAAACCCTGAATTTTGACGGCTTGTACCTCTCATTCAGTTTCCTGTGAGGGGGCTCTATAATTTCTAAGATACTGTAATTTAAAAACTAACAATTTGATATAAGTATTTCTTTAGTTGCAAGTCTACAAATATGGTGACGTATAATTGTCTTTCCTCTTTCGGTGAGCTCGGTTACAAGTTGGGGTGCTAACTTTAAGGTCAGCAGTTCGAATCCAACAGCACTCCTCAGGAGAACGACGTGGCTTTCTACTCTCCAAAAGATTTACTGTCTCAGAAACTCACAGGGCAGTCCTGTACTGTCCCACCCTGTCACTATGCGTCAGTACTGAATCAGTGGCGGTGAGTTCAGTTTGGCTGGAAGGGGAGTCCAGATGGTGGACTTCAAGGTGGGTGGATTCAGCAGCCCCACAATTACCCTGAGCGGTTCAGGGTCTCTTGATCTTTGCAAGTGGCAGGCGCTTCTGTTGGCTCCTTCCTAAGGCTGACTTCTCCTGGGGGCTGTAAATTGGCTGTCAGCGGCATCGGGAAATTGCCTCTTTGATACTATCCAGGCACGATCAATATCTTTTTCTCCAACCACACGTTTGTCCTGAAATTGCAGTGGATTTGTTGAGGCCGTGTCCCTGCCACGAGACCAATGACAGCGGGGAGGCAAATGCTAGGAGCAGGTGGGCCTAGGACTGAGGACCTGAGTGACAGGGCTGGGAGGCTTGGTGGCTGCAGAGTTCTGGTGGGAAGGAAAGGAGACAGTGGACAACAGTGACACATCCTCAACAGGGGCTACAGATAAGAACACAGGTCAAGCATCCGTGGTTGTGGGTGGTCATTTTTGCCTACCACGGTGATTTGCTGCTTTTTGTTTACGGCAAGAAGATCGTGGAAATTGTTTTTAAAATACATGCATGATAAATCTTTGGGGGAGGGGGGAAAGGCACGGTGTATAGGAGGCGGCTTCAAAAAGCCCCTGGACAAAATAGAACAGAAAGGTCATGGTTTTCCCAGAAACGCTTTGAAGCCCCTCATATGTGCTTTAAAACCAAGTTATTATTATTTGAGGGTGGGTGGGAATGAGTTTGTGTGTTGTAACCTCGTCTCTTTCTCTCTATCCCTGCTTCCCTTATTCCTTCTCTCGCCCTCTTTCCCCCACTCACTCACTCACCCTCACCCCGACCCCACCCCTGTGGCACTGATATTTAGGGCAGATGCAGAGAGTGTTTGGCAAAGAAGTGCTGAGTTATTCTTTGAATCTGTGTCGGGGGCAGTTTGATTTGCTCGTTCGCCTGCCCGAGCACCTCCTCCTCCAGATCTTCTCCTTCCTGGATGTGGCTGATATTGGGCAGCTGTCCAAGACCTGCCAAAAATTCCAAAAGGTAAGGGCTTCAAATCATTCTGTGTTTGACTCCTGTTACTCAGAATGCCAAAGAGAAAGGGAATGATCCAGAAAACGAACATTTCACAGAGTGACAGATTTTGGATGTGGGCAGTAATCAAGCCCAAATTCAGTGAGGGCCCAGGAGCTTCTTCACTTCCCTCTCAGGAGCCCAGAGCTCCAGGAGCAGAGAGAACGATGAATGATACAGGTTAAGAAATAAGGTGTAGTCGTGGGCCCACCACTCAGGTCAGTGCAGGTCAGATGAAGCTGGTAAACTAAGAGTGAATCAATTACCCATACACCAAGGTAAATCGGATGTAAGAAGAGAGAAATACTAAAGAACAGATAGAAAAAAAATTGCCCAGGAATTCAAGGATGCCAGCCTTCTCTGACCCCCAGGAGAGTGAGCCCTGGCTTTGTAACTAAGATCACGTGGTAAAGGATTCTCTTTTAAACCCCTCATTTTAGAGATTTGTACATATTTGAAGGCACCCTGGTGCCATAGTGGTTCCGAGTGGGGCCGCTAGCCTCAAGGTCAGCAGTTTGAAACCACCAGCCGTTCCTCGGGAGAAACAGGCGTCTTCCTACTTCCACAGAGTTTCCTTAGGGGCGTTCAGTTTACGGCAACGGCGGTGGAATCATTTGGAAAAGGAGATCGATAATGGTTGTACAACACTAAGAGTATAGTCAATGGCACTGAATTATTCAGGTAGAATTCGTTGAATTGGATAATGTTTGTTGTGTGTATGTTTTCTTCAATTGGGATTTTTTGGTACATATTTCAGATATTTGTACATGCTTGATAAGACCTCAATTTTGAATCTAAAATTGGTAAAGGGAACTAAGGTTGATTTATTGTATATGTAACATTGTTTTCTTTAAAAAAAGCTAGAAGTTTCAGAAAGATAAAGAACAGCACATTTAAAAATAATCTATAATCTTCTATTTATTTGCTGCTACATTTTGGTCTGTACAAACGTATTTTTTAAGAGATTTTACTATGAGATTTGAGTGGCTCTGAAACCCAAACACAAAACTGAAAGTGAGGCTATCAGAAATTCTAATCACCAATTTCTTTATTTGTAAATATTGGCATGAATGTGAATTTTCTTATTTAAGAACCAGTAAGTTGCAGTAGGAGGCACTGTTTCCACATTCATGTATTCACTGAATGCCACTTGTGTGCAAGGCACTGAGCGATATGCCAGGCTCAGACAATAGTAAGCAACACTTCGTTCCTGGTTTCCGGAATTCATTACCTAGTAGGCAGGTTATGGCCAACATTAAAATTCACAGGTAAAGTTAAGTGCTGCCATACTGGGAGGGGGCTGTGATGGGGACAGAGTAAGGCCTGGCTGAGGGAGTGACACGTGACCAGAGTAGGTAGCCCTTAGCCAAGTGAAGAAAGAGGGTGTTCTGGGCAGAGGCATAGCCTGTGACCGCGCTCACGCGGTGAAGAGGACGGAGCTTTTCTGGATCTGAGTAGCTGGTGAGGTCAGAGCCAGACTTATGGGGAGAGGGTGTGAAATGACGCCGCCGCTGAGGACCCAGGTGGGGTCGGGACCTTTAGCACACGCCGTTCTTAGCTGCTGTCAAGTCAGCCCCGGCTCCTGGGGACTCCTAGCGCAGGAGAAGGAAACACTGCCAGGTTCTGCCCCAGTCCCATGCCTGAGAGGCTGCCGGCTGGTCAGCGGTCCCTGGTGTGAACCGTACCTAGTGTTTCCATTGGCTAATTTTCAGAAGTAAATCACCAGCCTCTCTTCCTAGTGAAGCTTAGCTTGGAAGCTCCGCAGTTGTTCAGCATCATGGTCACACACCGCCCTCTGCTGGTGGCTGAATGGTGGCTGTCTTTGAAGTTCCCTGGCTAGAAATCGAACCCGTGTCTCCCACACTGAACCACCAGTGTCAGGGATCATGCTAGAAAGGGGATTCCACCCTTTATAGGAATAGGAAACAGGGCATGATCCCTCTCAGTAGGAGGAAAATGATAGGCCAGAAGCAGGACTAGACGCAGAGCGAGGAGCAAGCATGTGACTGCAGTGGTCCCCGTGGGCACTAGCACACAGTGGACAGTGTGCTCATTTTGGCCACTGAAAAAATGGAGGTGCTATTTCCTGAAAAGAGGAGGGCTGAAGGATACTTTGGGAGTGGGCGGCAGCAGTAATACGGTGCAGATCAAGAATTCTGCCTAGAGCCCTGGTGGCATAGTGGTTATGAGTTGGGATGCAATTCTCAAGGGCTCTCAAGGGCAGCAGTTCAAAATCACCAACCGCTCCTCAGGAGAAAGACAGGGCTTTCTACTCCTATAAAGAGTTAGCCTCGGAAACCCCCAGGGGCAGTTCTACCCTGTCCCACAGGGTCACTGTGAGTTGGCATCAACTCGATGGTGGTGAGTTTGTTTGTAGTAACTTTAAATGCCTATGAGATACAGCCAAGGAATGGTGGCTGACAGCTGGGCGAGCTCTTGGATTCAGAGCCGAGAGCAATCAGCGGTGTGAACATCATTTGGGAGGTGCTGCCACATCCTTGAAACATAAAGAGCTCATTGCTGTTGAGTCCATTCCAACTCACAATGGCTAAACCCCCAATGGCTAAACCTCAGTGCAGCCCAGCCCTGCTCCTTGCAAGCCATGACCGCATCAGAGACTTCTCAAGCCACACCAGCCAAGAGTGCTGGTGTCACCGACAGCTTCCTGGGGAGACCAGAATGCTGCCTTAGTTGAACCATCCACAGTAAACAGTCTTTAAAACCCCTTTTATCAATCTTTATTCTTCCCCTCCTGGGGATCCCGATGGCATGTAGGCTACACATTGAGCTGCTAACTGGCAGGTTAGCAGTTCAAGTCCATTAGCTGCTCCTTGGCAGAAAGATGAGGCTGTCTGCTCCCATAAGAATTTAAAGCCTTGGGAAGAGAAAAGGGGCAGTTCTACTCTGTCGTGCAGGGTCACTATGAGTGGGTATCTGTGAGACCTGCTGGTACAGTTGTTAAACACTCAGCTTCCAACCAAAAGCTTGGTCTCTGGCAGACAGAAGTGGCTCCCTAAAGAGTCATCTTGGAAAGTCTACGGGGGAAGTTCTACTCTGAAACACACACTATTCCTCTGGCTCCTTGAGCCTTTCTCCTCCCCCACTATCATGACCACAGTGCTGCCTCTCACTTCGGACTAGACTGGACCATGTACACAGGTACAGATAAGAGATAAGAGCTCACGGCACATGGAATCTATGAGCAGGAGTGGGAGCAGCAATACCAGGAGGGCAGGGGGAAGGTGGGGAGAGGAGAGGAGAAAGGGAGAACTGATCACAATGATCAACACATAACTACACACCCGCTCCTCCAGGGGGATGAACAACAGAAACTGGGGGAAGCAGTCAGTGTAAGATATGAAAATAATAACTTATAATTTATCATGGAGTTATGAGGATGGAGGGTGGGTGAGGGAGGAAAAAAGAGGAGCTGATAACAAGGACTCAAATAGAAAGTAAATGTCTAGAAAAGAATGATGGCAAAATAAATACAAATATGCTTGGGATAATACTGTGCAGAATGGGAAAACAAACAAACCCTGCTTACCTTCAGGGGCAGTGAGACTCAGCAGTGGCAGCACACAACCAGTCTGAGATAGAGATCAGACACACCGCCACTCTCCAGGCCCTCCTCCTTCCCTTTTCCCCCCCTTTTTTTACCAATTCTGAGAGCCGCCAGCCCTCCTATGGCACTTCTCATCTGGGACTGAGAATCCATTGCGGCGGCCACACAAAGCTCACAGACCATACCATACTTAGAGTGAAGTTGTTTATTAAACAGGTAACAGGCCACAACTTGGAATGAAGATCAACAAACTGCAAGTCAGGGTCAGGATCGGAGTCAGGAGGCACACAGAGCAAGCAGTCTCCCTTCTTCAGGGCAGGGAAACGCTCTCCACCCTCAGCACAAGCACCTGTCGGTCCGGCTGCCCGTCTCTTGCTTGCTCTGCTGGTGGTTCCCTTTTGGGCCTGTCCCTGCCTTCAGCATTATCGTTTTTAGGAGGTTCCTTGCCACCTGCCTCTCTGCTTCTTCCCTCTCCTGCTTCTTTCTGCCTGCAACACCTGTCATTTTCAAAGCATGCACTCCCACCTAGGACACAGAACGGCCAGCCCCTTGGCGGAGGCCAGGGACTTCATTTGCATGTAACTCACCTCATTTGCAGAGCCGATGAACCAATCCAAGTTGTAGGGTAGGCTCCAGTCTATGACCAGACAAAACATTACCAAAACCCAGTTGCTCAGTTTACTCAGAAAACGTCAGTCAACCTGGACAAAAATAACCAACTCTGGGGTCAAAAATCAGAGCAAAGGGTTTAGGAGAAATCTCTTGCAAGCTGTTTTTTCTCCAAGAACCAAGGCACTAGGCCACCCAAAGGAACTCATGTCACTTGAGTGGTGCGTACACTTAATGCGCTCCGCTGACCAGAGAGGTTGGAGGTTCAAGTCCATCCAGGGGTGCCTTGGAAGAAAGGCCTGGAAATTGATTTCCAAAGACTCAACTCTGACACACATGGCCTCAAGTGGATGGCACCAGGCTGGTCTCTTGCAGGATGTCCGATTAGCTCAAATTCCGGATTCAGAGACATTCTATTTTATGTGTTTATTCAATGGCAATTTCACCTGAGAGGTGTTTGGTGCTCTTTCTAACACAGGGGGCACCAAAGTGCGCTGGTGCGCTCGCATAGCTTCAACAGACAGCACTGCAGGCCTGGGAGAGAGAAGGAAGAAAGCCTACAGGTTCCCCTGCAGATACTGACCTTTGTCCATGCTGACTCCTCAGGCTTTCTGGTGGCGGTTGGCTTCTAAGACCAGGTGAACCTGAGAGTGCATGGAAGAATGGAATGAAAAGACAATGGAATATTCATGGACTTTCCTTCCTTGACTCTGATTTCTATGATCCATTTAGAAAGCCTAGAAATGCTAGCACCTTGGCACGCAAACCCCAAAGTGGCACAAAAATCCCATCTAATCAATGCTCCCCTCTTTGGGTTTGGAAAAGTATTATCATAGTTAGCTAGGCAATGGCTGCTTCCTGAGGAGTGGAGCAGGGAGAACTGTCTGCAAGCAGATGGCTATTAAACCGGCACATTCATTTTTGTACCTGGAAAGCAATTTAAAATTACTTTTCTCAAAAAGCCATTCACATTGAGAAGCACCATTCCCTTCCAGGGTAGACTGCCTGTATTTCAATTGGCGAATGGGCCTCTATGTTAGATAGGGTTCTCTAGAGAAACAAAACCAGGACACTTATGATTATATATATATTTATATAGTCAGATATATACAACATGAGAAATAAACAGCTAATTATAGAGCAGTACAAATGGCTCAGTGCAACTCACTTCCATGAGACAGCTAATACACTGGCAGTCCTTCAAGGCTTGAGGGCCACCGGGTGCAAGTTAAGGAAGTAGATAGCTGAGTCCTCTGTAGAGCAATTCAGGCAATCCGGCCACAGGCAGCAAACAGCAAGGCAGGTCACCAATATTCAGCCAGATGACAGGGTCCAACAGTTCCCCAGCTCAAGACACGTATACTCCAGTAGCATGGTGAAGCAGGTCTTGAAGGAACCTCAAACTACAGTGACATAGTCCAGGGTTAGTTGTCCCACAGGTAGTGTAGCTTATATGTTGAGGCAGAGAACCAGGGAAGGCAGCTGCACACTGGTCTGATCGTCAAAGAGCAAGAGACAAGAGGCGAGGCTCACCAAGCCATTTATCTCTCTGCCCTTCAATTAATCCCAGATCTGTTCATTGGCCAGGTTGGCACAACCTATTTTTGTGTTCAAAATCACAGCCTCAGTGGTTTCGTCCTTCTGTGATACAAGGTGACTTACATAACTAAAATTTTTCTTTCAGATGTGTAACAATGAAGAATTCTGGGAGAAATTTAGAACGTTACAAGACACTCGTGCATTTGATGCAAGAAAAACAGGGATAACAATTTATAAGAAGCTTCTGGCTTTCCACCTAAATGCCCACCAGACACCCTCACAGAGAAGACAGACTGCGTTTTTCTGAACTTAATTGGAGCAGCAAAATAAACACACTCAACTGAATTTCAAATCATTATTACCACTAAATCTTACCTATAGCTGACGGCTATCATGTAAGTGAGGAAATTTACATGTTTTGTTTTATATAAAAACCTCTTCGAGAATACTGTCCTCAAATTAAAATTTTTTCCTTTTTTGCGGGGAGGGGTGGTGGTTTGAGGGAGCCAATTTGGCTACTGACAGAGCAAATAGATTAATCATTAGTTAATTCTTCCTTGTAGTCTCTGGTTTCAAGTCTTAACCTTAATTTTAAAGAGAAAATAGAATAGAAAGTAAATTTAAAATTTGTTATCATAGAGAATTATAGCTTAGAGAATGAATTAAATGCCAACATTTACAACACTCTTAGGGAAGAACACAAAATTAGAATTTAGAGGACC